AATAAAGTGCATACACCCGTAGTTGAAATGCAGCGCTGTAATGAAAGCTACTCTTCCGTATTTTATAATAAGCATAAATGAAGGTGGGCGATAATCAAAGATGATAACAGAAATTATATTATCTCCAATTTAACACCTCCTGTCCACAATTTATCCGAAGCACCTATTTAACAAGGCGTGCGTTCTAGTTTCTCACCACCAATACATTTGTACTTGAAATTTTTTTTCAAGTGAAAAATTTAACATTTTTCTTTAGTTTTATCGAAGCTGAAATACCCTTCATACTCAAGAAACTTTGTCCATCAATCGGTAAAGAAATTTGTTAATATTAGTAATTATGTTACATGGCTTATAATTTTTTTTCCATAAAAATTCTACTTCTGAAGACCTTAGTGTGTCTTGTTTTGTATGGGAAGGCCTTCAATTAATATATATGACATATCCATAAGCAAATACATATTGACTTCAAGGGGTATCATATTTTTCTTTTAGTTATAAAGTGGACTTCATGGCTTTAGTTCGTGGTTATAAACTAGAGTTAGTGCTTCCAATGGTGGACTATCCTTGCTTGCCATTCGTTTGTGGTTTTTATTGGCAAGGTCTACAAATAGTCCTTACTTAGCTCTTGTCAGAACTTGATAGTCATATTTATGAGTACATTTTATATATTACCAGGGTACATTGGTAAAAAAAGCATAGTGTTTTTCTGCTGCTATTGTGCTGACTCTGTATCGAAGTACCTTCAGTAATTTACAGTTGGTATGAGTTACTATTCCTTCCATCATTGCTTTATAAATATTAACTTTATTCTCTACTGTTAGACTAGTCTTTTTACTGGGCCACCAAAACAGTTGTTTGTCATTCTTACCTTTCTTCCCTTTGCTGTACAGCATATGTCGCGTATATATGCTGTATGAATCATACTCCGGCATTGAGATAGTTAAGTGGATAAAAGTTCACCGGCATCACTGGCTTAATTATGTCGTGCGAATGAAAGAAAATGCTCGCAGATGATAAACACAATAGAGAATATCCGCATCTTCAGTGGTAATACGGGATGATCAATGATATGGGACGCTCGGCACTATCAACTGGCGACAACAAGCCACTAATCGGGTTGGCTGACTCACGTTTGTAATGGACAACTAAGTAAACATCTAAGTCACTTAAATGTCTAAATAAATGAATTCTAAAAAGATCTAAGCATAAATATTTTATAATTTAGCAAAATATACTCTACCAATTTGGTCTTGGTGACACCATAAGATCTTGATCTGTAGATCTCTCATTAACTTCTCTAGAGTTAATGACAGGAATCTGGTCATTTTTACAACAAAACTTTACTAAATTTATACCGAAATGATTACCTTTCTGGGGTGTTATTTATATAAGGTACTCTTCTCTTTTCGCATAACAAACATTGTATCATGAAATTTATATCAAATTTTAGCCATCAGTGTCAACTATATTAAAATTAATTTCAGCTGACGAAGTCCAGTTTTAGCATAATTTTCAATACATTCGAGTACTACTTAATCTTGCCAGGTTAATGGATAAAAGATATCACTGTTAACAGCAAGGAATTATTTTATATTGTTGATCCTGAAGAAATAATTTATGTGAGCCATTTCTATCAATATTTTGTCCACAGTAAATATTTGTTTTAATGAGAAGCTGTGAATGAATCTTTATAAACGAATCACTACTAGCAAACCAATTGATACCCCAACCAAAGTAACATAGATCACTAAAATAAATAGAGAGAAAAAAAGAGAAATTCAGCTAAAAAACAATACAAATGGGATACCCCTATTACAGACATACAGACCCAAAAAATAAGCAGCACTTATCTATGAATTATAGCTGGAGAAGTATATGTGTAACCGTGTCATTGACCCATACCTTGTGTTTTGTCAAGACAATAGTTTTTCCAAATATATAATTAGTAACTTATCGAACTGAGGGACCGTATACAACATAATAACAAGTATTATACAACGGCTGCGAGGCAATGAACAATCTGAATCAATATGAGAAACACTAGACCAATATCAAATAAGGAACTATGAGTAGATCTTAAAGTCTTATCTGCTTCACAAAGGGATATTTAATTTAATGGTGGTAGTGAAACAACAGAATAGTAGTAGCCTCGGGAATATTGGTTTAGTCGGTAAAAACATAGCACATTTGGAAATAACTGTTTTAAGGATTTCCTATGAAAAGTAAAAGACACCTATTGACAAATATAATCTAATTGACTCACACCTTTGAGTTGACCGATATGATTCTATGTTCAAGAAACGCCCATTCACAACTTTTCAAATATAACGGCAAAGTCAATAGACCGTTTGCATGCGTTATGTACAGGGTGTATTCCGCCTTTCATTGCGCTGTCCGCAAGTGTGTCTTATCTAAGTTTAAATTTCGAAAAGTCTACCCACCAAAATACTTAAAATATTTTTCTTTTGATAAGAGTTTTGTCAGACTAGTTCGAAGACTTCCACTGTGAAGAGGTTAGTGCATTTGTGTTGAATAAGTTTTGAGTAAATGGCAAAAAATCGCAGATATGAGCCCAGCGGCTCCGGTAAGATTAAAAATTTCGATTGTAATAAAAATATTATTTTGATTATTATTTTTTTTTATTTATATTTTCATTTAATTTCTATGGTTTTTTCCATTTATTGCATTTAGTTCGGTTATTGGGTGTGCGACATCTTCAATGTTTCTTGCTCTTCCTTGGGACGTCGGTGGCGTTTGCAATGCGCGTGAATTTATCAATGGCGATCGTAGCAATGCTGGATACAACTTCGACAACTCCTGGTATACCTGTTCGTTTGAAATATCACTATGACAACTTTTCGATGGAATAATTTTGTGATTTCATTTTATAGGTTTATAATTGGTCTGAAAAAACAAAATCTGTTGTGTTAAGCAGTTTTTTCTGGGGTTACGTTGGCACACAAGTTCCTGGTGGTTACTTAGCTCGTAAATTTGGAGGAAAAGCGATGTTACTTTATGGAGTACTTATTTCTTCGGTGCTAACAATATTAACACCAGTGACAGCAAAAATTGGCAACTGGCAGTTATTGTGTGCTTCTAGGTTATTGCAAGGACTCAGTCAAGGCGTATTTTTTCCATCCGTGCACACAATAATATCCCAATGGGCGCCATTGGAGGAGCGTGGTTTACTTGGCACCTTCTCGTATGTTGGTAGTCAATTCGGTACTGTCGTCATGTTAGCGACAAGCGGAATTATGATATCATCTTCCTATGGTTGGCCGAGTATATTTTATATATCAGGGTTTGTAGGCCTTTTATGGGTAGTTGTATGGGTTAAGTGGGGTGCAAGCACACCAAGTGATTTTAAAACAATTTCAGCATCCGAAAAGCATCTCATAGAAAGTTCTATTGGACATACAAATGATGAAACGGCGCAAAACATGAAAATACCTTGGAAACGTATATTTACCTCTGTACCATTTTGGGTGCTCTTCTGTGTACACTGTGCGCATAATTGGGGTTTCTGGACATTACTAATCGAAATTCCTTCATATTTAAAACACGTGCTTAACATGAATATCAAAAGCAATGCTTTACTGTCAGCATTACCTTATACAGTAATGCTGATATTAGGTATTGTATTTGCTATCATTTCGACAGTGCTAAGTAAACGGAAGTGCATACCTCTCACGCTAAGTCGAAAGATTTTTAATACAATTGGTCATTGGGTCCCAATGGTAACGCTCATTTGCCTTTGTTATGTTGAACCTGGACAAACAACCTTGGCAATTTTGCTCCTCACTATAACGGTAGGCATTAATTCAGCTGTAACCTTAGGCTTTCAAATAAATCATATTGATTTATCTCCCAACTTCGCTGGAGTCTTGATGGGTATTACCAACTGTGCGGCAAATATAACAGGAATTATTGCACCTTTAGCAGTGGGCTTCATTGTAACGGACGTGGTAAGTTCTTAAAATATTGTTTATACACCATTTACTAATATACATGGTTTTTGTACGTAGACAAGTGCGGAGCAGTGGAATCAAGTATTTTTCATAGCAGCTGGCATCTATTTCGTTGGTAATTTACTGTTCATATCGTTTGGTACAGCCAACGTACAACCATGGAATGATCCTTTACCAAAGCCACAAGAATTAAGTCTCATTGAGCAAAAGCCAAGTAATATAAATGGCTAACTGCTAGTAAACTGTGTAAGTCAAATCGTCGTGACTATGGGACTATGTTGAAGAAAACTGTGATAATATTTTTTTCACGGAGAAGACTGCTTAAGTGAAGTGATAAATATAGAATTTTTGTCGAAGTATAAAAAAATTAAACTTTTACTTAAAAAAATTCGAAATATTATTTATTTTTTCATTTGATCTGGTTTCGTTTCTAAGTCTTAATTATTAATAGCTTATATACTTTATCTATCTTGCATCTGTGTGTTTTGTTTTAATTGTATTTTTTCAAGCTTCATTCTAAGTTACTAAGTGTTTGCTCAGTAATGTTAAAAAATTAACTTTAAATACTGATTGACTTTAATTCGTTAAAAACCAAGCCTTCAAGCAACATTTAGTGGATTATTTTTTAATATAAATTTTAAAACATATTATTGCATATAATTTTGATTACGGGTTGTTTTGTATCAATAAGGGTTAATATGGAAAGAGAATTTTTGATCGAAGCACATAATCTGTTCAAGATTTATCGAGATAAAAAACGCAAAAAATAAAAAAGTTAATTTGAACAATTTAATTCAGGCACATATCTTTTAATAGGAGCTTAATACCTTTGTACACTAAAATGGGTCCGAAAATTGTCATGGTTTACATTTGTTGCTTTTAAAAGGTTTTCGATAATTGTATTAATATTGACATACTTAGAGTTTTTTAGTTGAAAGTTTGTTTGATATACGTATATGCGTATATATTCAATACCGTGTGTTTCAGTAAATATTGAAAATAGACCACTCTTTCTTTTGTGATTTTAAAAATTTATAAAATTTATATTTTGGTACAACAAAAAACAAGTTAAAGACGCGTATAGCCGGTCATAAACACTGTGTGAACTATAAAAAAAATATTGAATCAAAAACGGCACTGGCATTACACTGTATTACATCAATGCATGAGCAGGACCTCGATAATGTAACGGTGTTACACCAAGAAAATAATCAGCAACAACGCTTTTTCTTAGAAATGTTATATATCCTCCAAACTTCTACTGCCACCAGACTAAACTTTAAAACTGGCATACAACACTGTGCTCAGTTGTATAAAAACACCTTCAACAAATCCGGAAGAGGATACATATATCCAATATATTGTATTTCCTATATATGGTTCTTTTATATCGATTGTCTAAATATTTTCTATATATATATATATAATTCATGTTTAAATATTAATGTATTTTATAATTGTTTCTTTGTAATTTATACTAAAATATTGTTACATTGTATATAAATTTTATAGTACCTTGATGATGACTATAGATTATAGTCGAAATATCGGTAAAAATAAAATCTTTTAAAAACAAATAAATATTTTTTTAAAAGTTTATTATTTAACTCCTGATCAATTAGACCGTAAAAAAACGAAATTATTTTTAAAAAAAATTTTTTGGTCATTAAAACAATAAATTATTGCTGTTTCAAAATATCCATCAATCATGGACTATGGAAATATTTTTGTTTGTTATTGTTCTTGTTATTAGAAATTATATAATTTTTTGAATAAAAAACGACCACACAACTTTTTCGATTTTTCGATTTTTTTTGCCAAAAATTTATCACAGTCCTTGGAAACATCTATTGATTTAAATGTTTGTTTCATGTATTATTCATTAGTAAATATTGCAAATCTGTGGATACTCACACTAATTCAGTATTGCACGCTTTTAAATTAAATGCAATATATATTCCAACAGGAGGATATGGTGGATTGCAAACTATACCTCTATAAAACTTCTATATATACCTCTATATCATCAGAATTCAGCGGAGCTCTTATTACAGTGGATCATGCAAATGTTAACTATACATTATCATATTGTCCGACCATATATTACTGTCAAATTATTCCAATTAACCCAAAAGACGTACATATTATATTAAATAAATTATGTCAATTTTAATCACTTAGGCAATCAAAACGATAAGTCACATAGAAAAATAGATCCATTGTATGTTACCATAAATGCAACATTTTAAAAAAAATTTCAGAATATTTTGAGGAAGAGGTGAACATTTGGAAGAGCTAGGAACTGATATTAATGCCAACTAAAACGTCTGACTTAAAAATATTAAATTTCAAGTCTCGGTTTCGAGAGTAAGAGCAAAAAAGCATAGAATCCTTCCATGGAGTAATCGTCCTCTAAACAAAGTGAATATGGTAAGTTGTTAGCATGACCAATAGTCATGTTATATAAACACTCATATGACGGAAGGGTGTAACAATTTTAAACTCTTTTTGGATGTGTCCAAAAGACATTCAATGCAGAAAATCATATTATAATTGTCAATTTTGTACTTCTACTACTATTTTATTACTTTTATATCCAACCATAAATTTACAAGATAATATTTTCTATATAAAGGTACAAGCACATACACACATATAAACACAATGGATTATGTCGTTGTGTCTTTCGACACAGTTTATATAATAGACATGTTACAATATGTACAGGTTAATATACACGCGCCGTTTCAATGTCCATATATGAGGCATTCTTTTAAAAATCGGTAGGATTTTAGAAAAAAATGATCTCATAACGCTGATTTTGCTAAAATTTCTTTATGTGCTTCTTCGTATGCTAAAATAAGAAGAATTTTATCTCTGGAAAAATCTGAAAATTTTTTCCTAGCAGTTATGAACCCATGGGGTTTTGACAATTAGCATGTTAGACACATTTTCAAATGGATATATTTCAAGGCAGATATCTCAAGATATATCAAAAACTCAAAAAGCAATTATTGAGTTCGATGAGCAGTAATTAAATATTTCCTGTTATAGCTGAAATCGATAGATTATGTGCTACGACTTTAGAAAGATATTGGATTTGAATTTAAGTTAACTAAAATTGTTCGAAGTCTGTTGATATTTAACAATAATTTATTATTGTTTTTATGCGGAAAATTTAAAAAATACTCCATTTATTATTTTAAATGTCTGATTTTTTCTAAAAGTAGAACTTATCAGTTTGGTTTTTGAAATGATTGCCTTAATTATTTAAAAAAAAATTATTGTTTTTAATTAACATATTAATTAATTATTTTTAATTAACATATTAATTAATTAAGGAAGCGAATAAATTTATTTTACATTAAACATTATTACAAAAAAATTTACAAATCCGGTTAAATTTTGATAAAACCGGTGTGTAACCGGAGTGGGTCTGAAAAGGTTTTTATCCGTCATAATACATTTTGAATTGAGTGGTTGTTCACGAGCTCTACTGCCTAGTTGTGAATTATATAGCTGTGTAATCATTTTCTTAGATTTAAGAGAATGGAAGGATTTGAACTTTCACTGTTTGACTTAACTTTCGTATGCTAGAACAGAGCATGACATACGCTAACACAGGGGCAATTTGATTATCAAGGGGGGAACAATTTGATTGTCAAGGAGGAACAATTTGAGCAAAAAGATTATTTATCAGTAAAGTAATGGTTACAGTTCATCTTTTAACGTTCGAAGAGTGATAGATATTACCGATTAATCTGTTTACCTTTTCTTACGATGCCTGCATGTGTCTCTTAAGAAAGATACAGAAACATTTCGAAACCTTAGGTGTGGCATAACCATCCTAGTTCGTTTCAAGAGTAATGAATAAGATAAAGATTTGCAGCTTAACGAAATAGTTACTACTATATTTTGCTATTTAAATAAAGGATTTTGCATGTTACACATTTTCATTCCATCTCATAAGTATAAGTTTTATATTTCTTAAAAAAAATCAATTAGCAATATGGATTCTAACAATATGGAGTATGTTAAAATATTTTATGGTAAGAATATTAATACATTATTTATATTATTTTAAGTTTTGACCTTAATTCAACCTATTTGAAAATTTTCCGCACATATGTAACATTTCTTGAAATAGACCTGTTGCACAAATAGATTTTCTAAATTTATTTGAATGATTGTTGTTTTTCGAAGACGTACTGATCTCTGATCTGAGATAACCCGATTGACTCAAATCCCATGCCAGATTATTTTACTTTCATTTCATTTATGCAATTTTACTTGTTGACATGAGAAAAATCATTCATCTAAAACAAAATATATATAAGTAACTCTAACGATTCAACCAATTAGAAAATATTTTTGCTTACTAAACAAACGTTGGTTAAGCACTTTCAAAGCGCCCCATTCACGTATAATTAGTTAATCCCTCCACTGCATAAAATATAATCACTTTATGATATTGCAACTACCAATTTGGAACATTTTTTCTTATTATATTATGGCATAGACACCTAAGGAATTGCAAATATATTTCTTTCTTTCACAAGGCAGAAGAAGTGAGGGGAGTGAGATTTTTAATTTGATGAAAGGAAATGGGAAGAAGGTTTATAGTACAATAAATGACTTAGCAGAATCATAACCCAACATTGTATCGAGTGTAGTAGGCAAATTTGTTAAGTAAAAATCTGTCATCTTAAACCTTCTTTTTTATAAACTATTAAACCATTAATGAATCTAAACAATCCTTTATTATTCTTGATAGCAACAGTTTTAATGAAGTCTGATATTATTCTGATACTATTTGTTTGGAATATGATTTTCGGTCTTTTATGATTCTATTATGTAAAATAATCATATAACATATGTTTTGAAACTTGAAATCCCGAGATGAGATAAGATATGAAGATGCTAAATAGGGACCTAAGCCATTGTAAAAAGCATATCAGCAGCCGAGGAATGAATTTCAGATTACAGTAGGTCTCTTTTGTCAAACTGTTGAGGCACTAATGTTTGTTGAACACTGTCAAGCCTAGCCTTGGTGAATAAAGATTGGAAATTTATACATCGTTGATTTGTAATTTGATTATTTCATTAAAAGTAAAGTAGCTAATTAAATGTGATTATCTCTTTATTTAAATATGGACACAGCCAAAACAGACCTTACTGTTTAGTATATGAAAATTAATATCATCCATATTAATAAAATGGCTTAAACGAAATTACTACTGCGATTATTACTCCTACTTAGTATACCTAACTGCAGCACTAAAAAAGGCTGCATGCTTTACAAGACACTGGTTTGGCACTGGTATCTATTTATTTAAGGTAGACGTTTTTGGA